TTTTTGTAGAGACAGAGTCTCACTTTTTCGCCCTCGGTAGAGTGCAGCAGAGTCACTCCAGCAACCTCCAACTCCTGGGCTTAGGTGATTCTTCTGCCTCAGCCTCCCAAGTAGCTGGGACTACAGGCGTCCGCCACAACGCCCGGCTATTTTTTGTTGCAGTTTTGACAGGGCTGGATTTGAACCCGCCACCCTCGGTATATGGGGCTGGCGCCCTACTCACTGAGCTATAGGCGCCTCCCCAGAGCCCATCTATTGAACCCTTGCTTACAACACTAAGGAAATGTAAACATTTCTTTTTATTATTATTATTTATTTTATTTTATTTTTTTATTTTTTTGAAACAGTTTCTCACTTTGTTGCCCTGGGTAGAGTGCTGTGATGTCACAGCTCACAGCAACCTCCAGCTACTGGGTTTAGACAATTCTCCTGCCTCAGCCTCCCGAGTAGCCAGGACTACAGGCACTGGCCACAATGTCTGGCTATTTTTTGTTGTTGTTGTTGTTTGGCCGGGGCCGGGTTTGAACCTACCACCCTCAGCATATGGGGCCAGCACCCCACTCACTGAGCCACAGGCGCGACCCAGTTTTTTTATTTTTTGATAGAGACAGGGTCTCATCACATTGCTTCGACAGGTCTTGAACTCTTGGCCTCAAGTGATCCTCCCACCTTAGCCTACCAAAGTACTGGGATTACAGGTGTGAACCACCATGCCTGTCCTCTCTTTTGGATTCTTAAAGCAATATTCTTCCTGAATTGACTATTAAAAATAGAAGAAATAGGCTGGGCATGGTGGCTCACGCCTGTAATCTTAGCACTCTGGGTAGCAGAGGTGGGTGGATTGCTTGAGCTCACGGGTTCAAGACCAGCCTGAGCAAAAGCAAGACCCCCATCTCTACTAAAAGCAGAAAAACTGAGTTAAGAGGATCGCTCAAGCCCAAGAGTTGGAGGTTGCTATGATCTATGATGCCATGGCATTCTATTCAGGGCAACAGCTTGAGATTCTGTCTCAAAAAGAAAAAAAATTAAATACAAAAATAAAAATGCAACAGAAAGCAGCCATAAGTGAAATCAGCATAATAAAGAAGTATATTAAAAAATCACAATTCAGGCCAGGCTCATGCCTGTTATCCTAGCACTCTGAGAGGCTGAGGCTGGTGGATTGCCTGAGCTCACAGGTTCGAGACCAGCCTAAGCCAGAGCAAGACCTCATCTCTAAAAATAGGTGGTACATTGTAGTTGGCACCTATAGTCCTAACTACCTGGGAGGCTGAGGCAAGAGAATCACTTGAGCCCAAGAGTTTGAGGTTGCTGTGAGCTATCACATCACGACACTCTACCGAGGGAGACAAAGTGAGACTCTGTGTCAAAAAAAAAAAAACAAAAGTCACGATTCAGCCATACCTGTAATCCTAGTGCTTTGGAAGGCCAAAGTGAGAGGATCACTTGAGGCTAGGAATTTAAGACCAACCTGGGCAGCATAGCAAGACCCCATCTCTCTCTCTCTTTTTTTTTTTTTTTTTTGAGACAGGAACCT